CTAGCACTATATTTAATCCTGTAACTTTTCAAGACACCATAAAACCTGTACATGGGGAATACTGTTTTATGCTGGAGACTTTGCTGAACACAATATTTAGTGTTTCAAAACAGTACAATGTATTACAATGATGATATCATCAGTGAAAGTGAAGTTTTTTGCATTTTCACACAAACAGCACGTACACTGACACTATAATTCTTGTGATATGTTTTACAGTCTTGAAATACTAATATTTGTGTTCAGCAAAGTCTCCTGAGTATAACAGTACCCCTCATGTACATGGTTTATAGTGTTTTCAAAAGTTACAGAGTCAAATATAAGGCTTGTGTTTCAGTTTTTTCACATTGAAACTCGCCAGATTGGTTACGTTGCCTTTAAGACCGTATGGTAGCCCAAGAATGAGAATTACCCCCATTATGGCATACCATTTGCAAAAGTAGACAACCCAATGTATTGCAAATGGGGTATGTGCAGTCATTTTTAGTAGCTACTTAGTCACAAACACAAAATTGGCGTTCAAATTAGTTTTTTGCGTTTTTCACACATAAAACAAATATTAACGCTAACTTTGGCCAGTGTTTGTGACTGACTACTGAAAAAGACTAGACATACCCCATTTGCAATACCTTGGGTTGTCTACTATTGCAAATGGTACACCATCATGGGGGTAATTGTCATTCCTGGGCTACCATATGGTCTCAAAGGCAACGTAACCAATCTGGCTAATTTCAATGTGAAAAAACTGAAAAATGTAACATGCTTTATTTGATCCGGTACCTTCCCAAACCACCATAAAACCTGTACATAGGGGGTACTGTTTTACACGTGAGACATCGCTGAATTCAAATATGTGTATTTTATTGCAGTAAAAGCAAACAGTATTATGACATTCACAGTTAAAATGTCATGCAGAAATAAAAAAATAACATTTCTTAATTTCTAAATTATTTTATATTTTATTCATATTAAATTATGTTTTGTAGCTAAATATTTGATGTTAAATGAAAGCCCTATTATAAATAAAATGATATATAATAAGTGTGGGTGCACTTAATATGAAAGAGGTGAATTACGGTTTAACAGACATATAGTAAAATTCCAAGTTTTGTTTATGTTTTGTTTCGATCAAAACGTGTACACTTGGCTCAGTCCTTATTAAAACTATGTTTTCTCACTTCCTAGTTTTTTTTAAATATAGATATATAATAATCTAATTTTGGCAACTCAGAATTGGCATTGTAAATATGACTGATACTGCATAGCCATTAGGCCAGGCAATATTGCATCCATTTTGACATGCATCCATTTTGACATTAGGCCAGGCAATATTGCATCCATTTTTTTATGTTACCGTATGTTTTTTTTTGTATTGAACTGGTTTCGGAAGAACCAAATTTTATCGTTCTTCTGTAGTCTATTAATTTATGAAGTGGCAAAATTACATTTTCTTCAGTTTAATTATTACCCCTTTTTATGCATGACAATAACTTGCTGGCATTTGCATCAAAACAGTCATTTTATTTATTTATTTATTTATAAAATATATTACCAGGAAAGATACATTGAGATTTCTTTTGTTTTCAAGTATGTCCTGAGGCTTTTAAAATAAACAGCATAAAACATAATTTAGGCACACTGAATTGAACAGTGGCGAACAAGCAAATAAGTAATTATTTATTGATCAATTATTTGTGCTACTGATTGCCCTTGCAGTGAAGAGGTTAAATGCACTGAGTAAATGGATCACCTAAAAGAGGCCAGATGGTGATATTAAAGCCGTTTGTGAATATATTCATATTGATGTGCATCATTTTAAGTACAAAATAAAATTCCTGGATCTTGGTCAACATTTCATGTAGGTTATGGTCAATAAGTCCACAGGGGCCATAACTTAACAGGACTGTAAACACGCTTTGCTAATAGCATCTGTTGTGTTTCTAGTCTCCTATGCCTGCTGTGGGCTGTAAGGAGCTGACACAGAAGACATTGTTACAAGTTAAATACAGTCCTCAAGAGACTAGGATTTCTGTGTCTTGTGCCTGGCTTGCTCCAAAGTTTCCCAGGAAAAGAGAAATGCTTGATACGCTAACTACCTGACAGAAGGGCAAGATAGAATAACAGCTTGCTGCAACCCTCCAAGTCTTTTAGATTATTCTGACTGTATTTCACAGCCAGGGGATGTTTAAGTATCGTACATACACACATATATGCAACTTGGTAAACCAATTTTGCTGCAGACATTGCCTTTTAACTGATGTGCCAATAAAAATAAAGGCAACATATACTCTTATGATCCATTATTTTGATTAGGCTCGAGTATTCATTGAGTATTATATTTGTATTCTGCGTAGACTTCATATAGTTACGTTGTTTACTGAACTCCAATTTATGAAATCATGTAATATAACAAAAAATATTATTCAGAATTCTAAATATTTAATTTGTCCAGATGATAAATATCATAAAGATAAAGTTTCTGCTTGATAATCACTAAATGTTTTGTGGAAAGGGAACTGTCAGACAATAACTGGACTGACAATAGTGCTTACTACCTTTGGGAGAAACTGCATCTCACAGCATGCTGGGAAAAGTGAGAAATGGTGGCAGATGCTTTGAGGATTTTTCCCTCTCTCATTATAACTGGAGGGAACCAGCAAAAACTGCACAAGGCTAAAATAAAAGAGTGAGATGCATCACGCACTGAAAGGTCAGAAATGGCTATTTGTAAAGTCATAGATCATCTTTTCCAAATCAACCAAATCTAAATTAATTCAAATACCCTTGTTTGTCATAATTTAGTTGTTTGTATATCTATTGTGCATCTCTGCAGAATACATTGGGATCTAATATTGGAAATAATTAACATTAATGTTTAGTGGACATATATATGAGTTATGAAGAAGAATGGGTAAGTTGAATTCAAAAACATTGTCAGTTTTAAAATAAACACAAAAACTTTTGAATATTGAATATCCTTTTTTACTTGTATAAATTGAGGGTAGGACCCAATATACTGGATTATTTGGGTACTGGCTCCCTCTTTCAATTTATAATTGAAATTATATTATTTAAAGGTAGAAACAGCAGGGTGCTTTGCTGATTCAAACCTTCCCTCATGCACCCACACAGCGGACGACATGACGCAGTTTTGGGATGTCTATTTAAAGATACTAGCAGACTATTGCTGCCCATGCACTAATCCTTATACCCACAATGGGGCGATTAAAAAAAAAAAAAAAGAACAGGAGGGGACATAGTGCCTCCCTGCGTCCTATAGGTGGTAGCTATCAAAGTAAATGAGAGGGGCTACCCTGTGTCAAGAATTGTCCCCCATCCATTACCAGCAGTTGGAGTATCTAATACAAAAAAACAATGAGTTTTCCATTGTCCCCCAGCTACCACCCAGGTGGTGGGGTCTCTAATGTTATAAAATGGGGAGTGGCCTATTTCCCCTCTCAGCTCTCAACCGTTGGTTACAAGTGGTGCTCTAACATCATATAATGGGGAGGGTCCTGTTGTCCCCCCTGCACACACACACTCTTTGGTGGCTGGTGGAGGCTAATAATAAAATTATGCAAGCATTTAGTAGATATACCCTCAATGTGCAAATTTGCAATGTTACCACAATGTCACAAAATAGCAATAACAATATTGAAAGAGTTCTTAACCATCTAAATTAACTTGTTATGATGCCTGGAGGTATTCTTACCTCAAGGAGTTAAATAATTCATGGATGGTTTTACCCCAATTTTCAGATTCAGGAAGCATGGAGTGTTGCCGAGCAAGGGCGTCACTGATGGGCTGAGAGTGATGAGCTGATGCTCTCAGCCAATCATTGACTCCCCATTTACTAAACTGACAGAAAAAATGTAAAGTGAAAGATCTGAAGCCAGATGCCGCTGTTGGAGGCAACTTTGGGGTTAAACAGTTTGAGAATGTTTTAACTCCTTGAGGTAAGAGTGCCTCCAGGCTCCATAACAATTTCTTTTAGATGTCTTTCCAAGCCAGTTTTGAGAATGGGGAGTCACTGACTGGCTGAGAGCATCAGGGAAGTGGACATCCCTGATGTAGGCAAATTTGAGGTTAAACATTCAAGATCAAAATGAGCAAAGAGAAACCCATGCTGTAATGATACCTGCTGCACATTTTTTCATGTAGTTAATTTCTATTTTGTTTATCTTTACTTTTTTCTCTCTCTTGTATGGACAATGTGAATTTTATAACATGACAGGAGGCTTCATATTTGCTTAGGTCTCTCTTTACTAGAACTCCACAGCAGCACAGAAAAACAACCAATCAGAAAAAAGTTAGTTACTATAAAACTCCCCTTCTCATGCATCATTTCCTCTTTCTTTGCTGCTCCGCATCAGTACAGGTCAGAGTACCACTGCCTCCTGCTTCTAGTTGGTGGCTTTGGGTTTTATTATGATTTATTCATGATTTATATTAATTATGCTTAGTTTTCACATTATATATTTATTTTATATATATATTGTTGTGGAAATAAGGTCTACACATATTTCCTAGTTAAAGGAAAATGTCTATTTACTCATCTCACACTATGCTATAGAGTTAAGCACACATGTTTAATCAAAATGGCTGCTAGAAGCTTCTAACCCCTTCCTCCCCCTGCCCCTTTAAACACCGACTAACTACCTCGTGCAGCAAGATGGCGCCGGGAAACCGTGGGAGACCCTCATGGACCTGGTGACATGAAATATTGACATATTTTTAGCTAGTAAAATGTTTATTTACTTCATTTAGTTATACTTAATATTATTCAATAAATTACTAAACTGACCACTAGATGTCACTCAGGAGTACCCCACCCATTGACCAAACACTCTAATTTTCAAGATGGCGCTGGAATCCTGGGGGAGAACTCCATGACGACAGTAATGACATAAGAAGGCACACCCTGTAGGACGTGCTTTGAATAAAACACTTAACACTTAACCAATTATTGATGTATTATTCCATGTTATCTCTGACAATGCTTATGATGTAATTTTGCTTTAAAAGGGACCTGCCGTCCCCTCTGAATAAACTTTCCTCAAGTTATTCAACAACCTAGAACCTGTGTCTGGTGTGAATTACTTCAGGGAGCGTGCACGCATTGTTTCATTGATTTGGCCAGGGGCAGATACACAAAGAAATAATCAATACTTTAATTGATTTTTCCATTTCAATTGGCGCCCAACGTGGGGCCCCCGGATTTGCCGGTTCGGAGGGCCGGATACCAAGGACCAGAGCGGACCCCCAGAAAATGGGACAAGCGGAGCCTGATCACCTCCATAATACAGCCGTTGCCTGTGTTATTCTCCTGTTTTGTGTCGGTCTGTCTCCGAGTCCACTTCCGGCTTCCAGAAGGCTACTAGAGACAGGTATTTAGCTCATCCGGGGTACCTTTTTAAAGTGAACCTGTCGATTGTCTATCTGCCTCCTGTATTTGTTTGAATGTGTGTGACGGCCGGAGTGTGTGTTTTCCCCCTTTTTAAAAGACAATAGCTTGACTGCCTAGCGGGCAGGGAACGCATTACAGCCGGTGGGGCTGGGATTTTAAGTTAGCTTGACTGCCTAGCGGGCAGGGAACGCATTACAGCCGGTGGGGCTGGGATTTTACAGCCGGTGGGGCTGGGATTTTAAGTTAGCTTGACTGCCTAGCGGGCAGGGAACGCATTACAGCCGGTGGGGCTGGGATTTTAAGTTTGCTTGACTGCCTAGCGGGCAGGGAACGCATTACAGCCGGTGGGGCTGGGATTTTACAGCCGGTGGGGCTGGGATTTTAAGTTAGCTTGACTGCCTAGCGGGCAGGGAACGCATTACAGCCGGTGGGGCTGGGATTTTGTTTGTTTATTACTGTGCTCCCATTAGTACTTGTGTTATACTGGGACCAGCCTGGTGGGTGAAGGCTGAAGATTGCTATACTTCGATTATTTGGCACCGGTGTCATTAACATGTACATGGCCATTTTACTCTCTGTCATTCTGTGGTTTTTTTTGTTTAATTGTTGTTACAGTGTGGGTACCCTTGGTGTGTGTGTGTGTGTATGTATATAGTGTGGCTAGTTCTGGATTCTGGGGTTTACACTCATCTCTATGTTTGTGATTTTTGCAAATGTCTTCTTGTTAGTGTAACCACTTTCATCTTTTCATTTGTCCTTTATCTCTCCTGTGTTTGTTGCCCAGAGCTGTGTTAGTCACCCACGCTCGCCCTCTCCGGTCTGTGGCCACCTCCCCCGGGTGCACAGACCATCGTGACTAGTCAGTCGAGCACTGTAGACTTTCCTACTTCTTCTTCCCTCTCACTTGGTCTCCTTTACTTGGCAGACCTCGCTTGGTCAAAAAGGGGCAAGTACATACTAGACCAGCTAAGGGGTATTTGGCTTGTGATATTGTTAAAGAGAGGGCAGGGGAAGAAGCTATGCTGAAAATGAAAAAGTTAGCAAAGATTTCTGGTTTCCAAACGTATAAATCTCTGTCCTTCTGTCTTGTTACTTTACGGAGCTCACATGGTTAATCTTCATGCCTGCAGTTTCTCTCTCTCTCCCCTTTTTGCACTGTCACACTTTCTCCCACCCCTACTCCCCGCTTGCCTACATTTCTGCATTTCGGAGCTACTGATAAAAGTTAGAGAGAAAATATTCTAATTGTGTAGTATTGTGTACATTGTTCCATACATAGACGTTGTCAGGCAGGTTATGGAGCTATAATTGTGTAATATTATTATTATTGTTGCCATTTGCATGGCGCCAACAGATTCCGTAGTGCTATATATATATTTTTAAATTAATTTTTGAGATAAGGTACTGAGGATTGTGGGAGTGACGAGCTCACAAGATTGCATTCAGTGTTGAATACGAGATTTAGGAAGGTGTAGCTTGTAGCTTGTTAAGGGGAATATGCGATGTTGTTATGTCTGTATAAGAGGAGGAAAGTGATTAATGGTTAGAGGATGTTAAGGGAAATTGGTTGAATTCCGTGAGTTTATCTTGCTTCATGTTAAAGTACATTTTTTCAATGGATAGCTTTATGGGCTGTTAAATGCATAATGTTCTCAACTGTCTTATTTAACCTGCCAGGTCTGTTCATAGTTTAATATTTCATTTTGCAGAACGGAATGTTGCTTCTCTGACTTATTTTATTAGTTATAATATGGTGTATTGTTGAAAGTACGTCAGCCACCACCCTAAAGATGGCGCCTAGTACAGAAGCAGGTTGACCCTGAAAGTCCCGTGACCTATCTACAGTCACGGTTGCTTCTAAAGTAACGTCACTTCCGCCCTTACCATGCCCACACCTCCTGTCTTCCTTTCCCACACCTATCATGGACGTCACCTCACTTCCTCCCTTGCTGTCATTTCCTTCCCCGCCCCTGTCATGGCTGCCTCCATCATGAGGCCTACCCCTATCATGCTCGTCCTATTTAGAGACATTACACTCTACATATTATGAACTGAAACGTTATATTAACTAAAACAATCATGCCATTTGTTTCCCTGTATCAGAGATGTGTCCGTGATATTTAAAAAAAAAAAAAAGAGGTTGCTAAAGAGTCATTTGCACCTGTGGTGTGACCTACAAATGAGTTCTGTAGGGCACGAATATAAGAGCATTACAGCTAATTATCCTGATGATTATTCATTAATGCCTGTGTCTTGCAACAAGGGATATTGCAAAATAATGCAAGTTATTTTAAACATTGTATCTTTACTTAATAGAATCTTGCTAGTTAAAAATCGTATGTTTACAGTAACATCCTTTACGTTAAATGACATTCCTCCGCCTCCCTGTCCCCCGCCACCTTTACCTATGCTTGCCTCTCGTCCCCTCTCCACCTCGACTGACCCCTCCCCAGTGTTACCCACTCACCCGTCTCCATCCGCTGCCCCGCTCTCTGCCCTCTCGACCTTACTCACCCCACCGCCCCAGATCCTCCAGACCCTTTTCCTCCCGCTGATCCCGCTTCCCTTATGCCTCCGGACCTCTCTTCTACCTCGTTGTCCCCTCCCCTCCCGACTGATTTGCCGTCCCTAAACTCTGCCCTCACCGCCCTGACCCAGCCCCCCGTTACCACCCATCCAACCCCTTCTCCAGTGTTACCTCCTCCTCCCGAAGTCCCGGTCCCCTCTACCTCGTTGCCTCCTCCTCCCTCGGCCGATTTGCCGTCCCTGATTTCTGCCCTCAACGCCCTGACCCAACCCCCCGTTACCACCCCTTCTCCAGTGTTACCTCCTCCTCCCGAAGTCCCGGTCCCCTCTACCTCGTTGCCTCCTCCTCCCTCGGCCGATTTGCCGTCCCTGATTTCTGCCCTCACCGCCCTGACCCAACCCCCCGTTACCACCCCTTCTCCAGTGTTACCTCCTCCTCCCGAAGTCCTGGCCCCCTCTACCTCGTTGTCTCCTCCTCCCCCGACTGGTTTACCCACGCTGTTACGACCCAGCCCCCTGTTCCCATCCCTCCGACCTCTCCCCCGGTGACCCCTGACCCAACCATGGCCAATGACCTGTCTAGCTCGATATCCGCCCTCTTCTCTGCTGTTACCTCCCTGGTTAATTCCGCGATTCCTGCCCCGCCTCCCACTGATTTACCTCCTCCTCCTCCCTCTGATCCTCCAACCCCTTCTCCGCCCCCGGCTAACGTCCCCGAGCCTTCCGATCCAATCTCTACCCTTGCTCACGTCCTTAATACTCACCTATCACGCCCATCCCAGCCGGCCCCCTGCTTTAGAGGCCCGTGCATACCCTCCAGCTCATGCTGATGGGTTTGACACGGGTGGTTTCCGAGATATTCAGCCCCTACCTCGACAAAGCCGCCTTGCCCGTGCTCCTATGCAGTCCAGCCACCCTCCCACTTCTACCCGCCGGTACCAAGGACCCGACCAGGCCCATTTAGATTTACTGCAATAGGTTACCGGCAAGCCTGTGTCAGCAACCCCTGCCATGACCCCTCCTTTTTGTCAGACACCGATGTCTCCTGTGTTGGGGTGGATGGTACACCCCGCAGTAGCCCCCTCCCTACACTCCTGCATGTTGGTTCACACATACTCTCACGTTTTGTTGTTTCTTCTACTTGTCCCATTAACCTCTTGGGTGCTGATGTTCCTTCTCGGCTCCAGGGTCCAGTTAACTACACCCTTATCACAGTCAGACACCACTGTACTCTGCTCACTCCCCATCTTGTTGAACCTAACTGACAATACAGGGAGTGCACGGGTCACACCCCCCCCCAGTGCTCTGGATCGTATCCCCCAAGAACTTTGGTCCACCGGCCCGGATGATATTGGACGCTTACATGTACCCCCCGTCCTGGTCCAGCTCCTGCCTGGAGCACTTCCTCTTCGTAGACCTCAGTATCCTCTGAAGTCACCACAAGCTGAAACCATCACCAAACAAGTTGAGTCTCTGCTTGCCAAAGGTGCCCTCACCAAGTGCACATCTCCATACAACACCCCACTTTTCCCTGTTAAAAAGCGAACTGTTAAGGGCCAACCCGACCAGTACCGCATGGTACAGGACCTCCGTGCTGTTAATGAAGTAACCATAAAGGACACTGCTATTGTTCCAAACCCCCATACTCATCTGGATGTTATTCTACTTCAATATGTTGATGACCTCCTTCTCTGTGCTCCTAATTTGCTTATTGCAGAGCGTGACTCAGAAGATCTCCTATGTTTTCTCGCTGCTGCAGGTTGCAAAACTTCCAAATCCAAGCTGCAATGGTGCCGGCCCTCTGTGGTCTTCTTGGGACATTGTCTTTCCCATGGCACCAGACATCTAACTTCTCAGCGTGTACAAGCTATTTTGCAACTCCAATTACCTGCACCACATCAGTCCCTTCATGCCTTCTTGGGTCTTATCACATACTGCAGGTCCTGGATACCCGAAGCATCAAAGCTCATGCAGCCACTCTATGATGCCCTCAGGAGTGAGCCCTTTCACCTCACTGAAGAAACTATCATCTATTTCCACAATCTGAAAGGAGCTATTGCTTCTGCACCTGCCTTGGGCCTACCCAACTACCAACTTCCTTTCAATCTGTTTGTCTCTGAAAAATCAGGACATGCTTCCGGAGTCCTTACTCAGAAACATGGGTCCAGACAACGGCCTATTGGCTATTTTTCCTGCATGCTTGACCCTGTTGCAAGGGGCAGCCCCTCTTGCCTCCGTGCTGTGTTTGCCGCCAGTGCCCTCTTGGACAAGACTAATGACTTTGTTCTTGGCCATCACCTCACAGTGTTGGCCCCTCATGACATTAATGCTTTCCTGCAACAAGTTCAACCCAAGCACCTCTCCTCCCAACGCCACCTCCGCCTGCAAACCTCCTTGCTTTTACCTGACAATGTGAAACTCCAGAGATGCCTTACCCTGAATCCAGCCACTCTTCTGCCACTTCCCAAGGGGGGAATTGTGTACCACTGGTATAGCCTGGATATCAACCCAGAAGTTCTAGCAGATCTGCAACTACCTGCACTTGCACCTCCACATGATGAACAATCAGTGGCCCTACTCCACTGTACTTTGTGGGTTAGGGATGAACCAGGCCCTGATATGAACTATGAGGCAGAAGTATTCCAACTCAAAGAAATCCAAATTACCCTGACTGACTTGTTTTGGGACCTCACAGGTACCATGCTCATCTTAGTCCACCTCCCAGAGAGTGTGACACATCTCTATCACCATTGGGAAACATCTATCCCACACATATCTCTCACCAGACCCCCCGACATCTCGTGGAAAGACCTAGGCCCGATGGCCAAAACCTGGAGTCAAATGACCCCAGAACAACTGACTTCTACGAGAATCAACAAAAAGACTATTAATTACTGTACAACTGGGTACCCCAGGTACCATACAGAAGCCTGTGAGGATCCACTCACCACAGACTGTGACCTCGATATCCCTCATGATTGCTTTGAACAAATGAAAATGGAAACTACACTACTCAACCCGGACCAAACATTATTTGTGGATGGGTCAAGATTTGCTGATGAACAAGGGCAATATCACACTGGGTATGCAGTTACCACAGAATGTCAAGTGTTACAAGCAGCTGCCCTACAACCAAATAAGTCTGCTCAAGAAGCTGAATTGACAGCCCTAACTGTGGCTTGCAAATTGTCTGAAGGGTTGCGTGTCAACATTTACACGGATTCAAGATATGCCTTGGGAGTAGCACATGATTTTGGCTTAATTTGGAAGACCAGAGGATTTCTTACGGCCACTGGTACCCCAGTAAAGCATGGGGCAGCCATTGCAGAGTTGATGGACGCATTGGAACTTCCAGCTGAGGTGGCAGTACTGAAGGTAAAAGCCCATGGAAGACTAGACACAGAAGAAGCACGTGGCAATCACCTGGCTGATCAAGCAGCTAAAGAAGCAGCACGGCAAAGATGGGAAGTGGACAGAAGAGTGGCCACAGATACACTGCCTATCTATACTATGCAAACATTGCCTACAGCCCTCAGGCTTCTGAAGGAACAGCAAGCTGCTGCTACTCCCCAGGAGAAACAAAGTTGGAAGAACAAAGGAGCTGTACTCCGTGATGATGTTTACACTATCAATCTCAAGTTTTGCCTACCCAGAAATATGTATCCAGCGGTGGTCCAATGGGCCCATGGGCCAGCCCACCTGTCAAAACATCTGATGAACTCATTGATTGACAAGTATTTTGAAGCACCAGGCATCACTACCTTAACACAGAATTACTGTAAATCTTGTACTATATGTGCTAAATGCAATCCTGGAAAGATTATAAAGACTGCACCTAATCACCTAGCCAAGCCGCAATATCCCTTCCAGAGGATCCAGATTGATCACATTCAGATGCCGAAGAGTGGACGTTATGAATATGCATTGGTCATAGTGGACATGTTTTCAGGATGGCCAGAGGCCTTCCCAGTGACTAATCTCACCGCGAGGACTACAGCCAAATATCTCTTGACAGAAATTGTTTGCCGCTATGGAGTTCCAGAAGTAATTGAAAGTGACCAAGGGACCTCCTTCACTGCCTCACTAACACGGGAAGTCTGGCCAGCACTGGGGGTGACCCTTGCATTCCACACACCATATCACCCACAGAGTAGTGGTAAGGTAGAGCGCATGAATGGCACTTTGAAAGCCAGAATGCTTAAAATGTCACAAGAAACTAACATGCCCTGGCCCGAGAGTCTCCCATTAGCGTTGTTTAGTGTAAGGTACACTCCTAGGGGAAAATATAGCCTATAACCTTATGAGATTTTGTTTGGTACAGCACCCAGGTTAGGTTGTTACTTTCCCCAACAGCTTCAGATTCAGTCAGATGCTATGGTAGACTATGTGACTGCCCTCTCACATGCCTTGACCAAAATACATGCCCAAGTGTTTTCTTCTATTCCAGATCCTGAGTCAAATACAGGTACACACAAGCTGCTTCCTGGTGATTGGGTTATGGTCAAGAAGTTTCTCAGGAAACACACCCTAGAACCAAGATTTGATGGCCCATATCAAGTGCTCCTGATTACAGCAACGTCAGTTAAACTAGCCGGGAAGAGTTCTTGGATACACGCCTCACATTGCAAAAAAGTGCCTGCTCCAGAAGAGGCTAATCTTGCTGAAATATGAATTTATTATGTGTCTTGTGTTTTCTTATGCTGCTACACTTTACCTGGGCCCAACAAGTGGCCATAACCAAAGATAATCATGTTTACACTTTTCTGGTACAATTCTTCTAACACAGATGTAGCTACATACACCTTTGATTACTGTGACATAGTTGTTTGCACCTTTTCCACAAACACAATATGCAGCCATATACAAAGACATACCTAGCAAAAAGGCTCACCTCACCAGACTGGGTAGGAACCACTCACATGACTATTAACACGTTAAAACCACATATTAAGACTCTACATGACATGGTAGCTATAGCCAATCCCACCTTTGAAGACACTATGACAGTAGAGACTGGGTTTTCAGACACTAATTTGTGGCTAGAATGGATGAGATATAACGCCAACTCACATAATAAGACTAACTGTTATGTATGTGGAGGAGCCAGGCCCCATCTGGGCACAGTACCTCTAAGCCTACCTCCTGAAGTAGAATTATGTGTTCTGAGTCTTTATGCACAATCCACCACCAACTCCTCAACATGTGAATCATGGAAAAGGGTTTACCCAATCACTCATGGATATGTCAAGCCACCTGATGGAGTCACCGTGTATCCAGGTAATTACACATGTTATGCTATACCTAAGAATACTGGTGTGTATCTGGGCAGATTCCCATCAGGATATTGCTCAACTTACCATAATCCACCTGTACCACTGTTAATGAACCACACAAAGACAATCGGCGATATCTATTGGTTATGTGGGGATAAACAATTGAGGTCCCAATTAATTGGGCAATGGTGGGGGGAGTGTGCCCTAACCAAAGTCATAATGCCTATCCATATCATTCCAGATGGTGACCATAACACGTTAAACCTCACACATGCACACTCTAGAATCAAACGAGAGACTCCTATTCGAGGGAGTTTCGACCCCCATGTGTATATTGATGCCATAGGTGTGCCAAGGGGGGTGCCTAACGAATTCAAAGCAAGAGATGAAGTGGCTACAGGATTTGAGTCCCTAATTCCAATGATAACTGTTAACAAAAATGTCAATTGGATTAACTATATTTACTATAATCAACAGCGTTTTGTCAACTACACTAGGGATGCCCTACAGGGCCTGGCAGAGCAACTACAAGCCACTACCCAAATGACATTTCAGAACAGAATGGCCCTAGATATGATTTTAGCTGAGAAAGGGGGTGTATGTAAAATCCTCCCTGAGACCATGACATGCTGCACATACATTCCAGACAACACTGGGCCCAATGGTAAGGTGACTATGGCCATAGAGAAGCTAGATAGTCTTGCAGACGAGCTAAAGAAAAATTCAGGAGTCATCGACACTTGGGACAGATGGTTTGGATGGATGAATGGTTGGCAAAGGACCCTCTTCCAGGTGGGGACAGCTGTTCTTATAATGATCATCATTTTCTTATTTCTAACCTGTTGCGTACTCCCTTGCATACAGAAGTACTTACAAAAAGCAGTAGATAAGACTATAGTTGACGTGACCCCTACTTTCCTACATCAGGACGTCACAGACCTCGAAGATGACACACCACATACACCCCTTCAAGCACATCAGTTCAAACAGACAACTGCCTTTCTATAGGGATAGAGTAGGGAAAGTGTCTGTCTTGACAGGTGAGTCTCACGTGTGGAGATGTAGTGGGCTAGCCACTGCGGGATACCCGCGGAGTGAAGTGTTCGATGCTTGTCAAGACAGATAGGTTGCGGGCAACTAGGGACATATTAGGGACAGCAGCAGTTGTTATGGTAAATAGCCATTTTAGGGGGGACTGTTGTGGAAATAAGGTCTACACATATTTCCTAGTTAAAGGAAAATGTCTATTTACTCATCTCACACTATGCTATAGAGTTAAGCACACATGTTTAATCAAAATGGCTGCTAGAAGCTTCTAACCCCTTCCTCCCCCTGCCCCTTTAAACACCGACTAACTACCTCGTGCAGCAAGATGGCGCCGGGAAACCGTGGGAGACCCTCATGGACCTGGTGACATGAAATATTGACATATTTTTAGCTAGTAAAATGTTTATTTACTTCATTTAGTTATACTTAATATTATTCAATAAATTACTAAACTGACCACTAGATGTCACTCAGGAGTACCCCACCCATTGACCAAACACTCTAATTTTCAAGATGGCGCTGGAATCCTGGGGGAGAACTCCATGACGACAGTAATGACATAAGAAGGCACACCCTGTAGGACGTGCTTTGAATAAAACACTTAACACTTAACCAATTATTGATGTATTATTCCATGTTATCTCTGACAATGCTTATGATGTAATTTTGCTTTAAAAGGGACCTGCCGTCCCCTCTGAAAAACTTTCCTCAAGTTATTCAACAACCTAGAACCTGTGTCTGGTGTGAATTACTTCAGGGAGCGTGCACGCATTGTTTCATTGATTTGGCCAGGGGCAGATACACAAAGAAATAATCAATACTTTAATTGATTTTTCCATTTCATATATATTTTATATATTGTATTAGTTGTCATATTATATTTGTATTTTATATATACATTTTTATATATTATATTTAGTTTCCTATTACATATTTATGTGTTTATTTCTATGCCTTATACATATTATGTTTAGTTGTATTTGCTTCATATATTTAATTGGGTTTACTGCCCTTTTGTATCCTATTGGCCTCCCCTGTTTCTTTGGGGATGTTTCCTCTAATTGTGGTGGTATTATGGGGGTACCTTTCGGCTTATCCCCCTTTGTTTTTCACCTTCCCCCCTACCCCACTCTCTGGTGCCACTCCGTTAACCCTCCCTGCGGGCTACTTGCGCTCCGCTCGGGGAGTCAGGAGACTAGCCGTTTAACCCCTTAAGGACACATGACATTTGTGACATGTCATGATTCCCTTTTATTCCAGAAGTTTGGTCCTTTAGGGGTGAAAGGCTGCCTTCTCTGATTCCGGTCAGGCGCGAGTACCCGGCGGCAGGGCCGCTCATGCACATGGTCACCTCGCCGCGGACGGCTCCCTCTAAAGCCGCGTGGCTCCTTTGAAGCATCCGACCGGCTAAAGGAGGGTGCGCCTGCCCGCGGCCCCTCCTCCACCCACGGTGGTCTGAGTTCAAGTTTTCTTTCCCTGCTGGGGTTCTGGCTCTGATGGCGCATACAGAGCCAGTTTGCCTATTAGATCAGGGGTAAGCACACTATTGTATGCTT